ATACATACATACATACACACACACACACACACACACACACACACATACATACATACATACATACTTACATGAAAATGTCGTATGCTTAACGATAGATACAACTGAATACTTTATACACCAGCTCTCTGAAACTGATTGGCTTACTAGATCACGTAACAGGAGACGCGAAAAAGCGTCCTAACTCAGCCGCCCTCATTCGTATGGGCCACTTTAACAGCAGCTACTTTATGTAGGCAATGACAATGGTAATTTAACGTAGCTGACTGTACATGTGTGTTATTTCTTACATGCCTACGTTGCTTTCCAAACGATGTCTGAATCTGATGTAGACGTATGTACCTTAGGCGTCTGTCAGTTGTGTGTGTGCCTGTATATATGTATATCGTCATATGTTAGTAATGATATATATATCTGGCTGACGACTCATTCTAAACGTGATAAGGTCTAAAACAATGGCGTTTACTTGCACACTTACCGACTATTATTGACGATAACGTAACGAACGTAATCGTTGTGAGTAATGTAGGAATAATTATAGGCACCTTAATAGCTTTAAACTCGTGTATTCACTTCGTTTTGAATGAATATTTCAAATTTACTTCCCTGACACAGTTCTGTGTAGGGTTACACACAACTGTTTATGGAATTCGTCATAAATTACTAATCGACTTTAGTTTCTCGAAATAACTTACTTGCCTAGCAAGTAAGTTATTTCCGCTTGAATTTGGTGACATTTGACTGACGGTCGTAGCAGCGATTGCTGAGTAGACGTCCCGCACCTGTCGATGTATGTGAGTGGGTTAAACGCCTGTCGAGAAGTTTGCCCCATAATTACACATATTTAACAGTTTTGAACGACCCATCGCGAATTCTGTGGCTGCAGTCGATGGAAGAAATAGGTTATTTTCCTATTTAATTTTTCTAAAATATGCTGATGGAAATAAAATATATCGCACATTAAATGTAAGCTCAAACCTACTTTTGAAGAAGTAGTTGAACTGCGAGAGGTTTAATTAGGCCGTGATTTAAAATGCTATAAAACGTGAGCTCGTAATCTAAGGAGAGATCAAAGATTAAGTAAATTTGAGGACAGAGTACTGACAAGAATATTTTGACCTGAGAGAGATGATTTAACAGGAGAATGGGGAAAGTACGCAGGTCTGTTGGGAAGGTGTGTAACTTCTACTCAACATTCAAGTGCAGTGATCAATTCAAGGAGAATGAGAAATACTGCAAAATTTAAGTTTGAATAACTGAAAGGAAACGACTGATCGTAAGACCTAGGTGTAGATGGAAGGATGATATTAAAATGGATGTTGAGGAAATAGTGTGTGAACTATCCTTTCGGTTCTTGACAGGATTCATTGTCGGGCTCCTACACACCTTCTTTTCTATGGAAGGCTGTAAATTTCTTGACTGTCAGCTTCTAAAAGTAGGACTCTGCTTTATGAATTAGTTGAGGGTTGCTTAGTAATAAATGTGCTGCACACACAAATAATATTTGGCTACTTACGGTTAGCGGATGGCGAAACAAGAGAAGTAAGTTCTGCAGTGAATTACAGCTGCATTGCCAATCTTATTATATGCCTGCGAAACACGGATTTTCCTTCCCTGAAAGTCACCCGCCCTTGTAGCTGAGCCATAGTTTTTTCCTTAAGATTTGTCAACGCAGGAGGGGGTGCCATGTTATTTATGAGCCCTTACAAGTCCGTATATATTTCATATATAAGTTATTTTATGCACTTTTACCTCCTAGTAATATGTAGGCCTGTAATATATTTTTATTTAACGACACTGTCAGTATCTCATATTATGTAACGTCGAATGACAGTGAACTAAGAAGGATGTGGACACAATTGATTGAGGTCCAAATTTAAGGCACTTCCCCGTCATGAATGTGGAGAGACAGAAGAAAACTACGAAAATCCTCAACCAGTGTCCGGACCGAGATGTGAACACATTACCTCCTGAGTTTTATTTATTTTTATTTATTTAGTGTTCTGTCTGACGACAGGTCCATATGAACAGGATCCTTCCATCCTTTTCTCGGACTGGGACCTGTTCATATACGTTCTTGGCAGATGATCCAGAAGTGGTTTGCCATTGCCTTCTTCTGTGTGTGAATGGAGTAATTGTTGGGATGCCACGGAGAAACAGGGGAAGCCCCCGGAGGAAAACTCCGTGTTGCCTAGACCACGACCTTGCCCAACACAAGTTATAAATTCGGGCACCGCTGGGAATCGAACCCGAGACCCCAGGATTACAAGGCCAGCGTTCTAACCGCTAGACCACCGAAAGAATATATCTAGTAATTGTTTGTAGCAAAAATAAAACACTTATTAGGCCACACTAAGAGACTTAAGAGATGATAGCTCACGACTTACTAGATTGATTAAGCAGTGTCTAATCACAGTCATATTCACTTTACAGATGTCTGATTTTGTAGGAGTATAAATTATCTGCTCATGCTCGCTTGGGCCTTGGGCCTTAAATTTATCGCGGCTACATTAACCAAGAGTCCGTCGGATATTTCAGTGTTTTTAACCACTCAAAATTCGCACGTTCTGACATGGTTCAGTGTAATTTATTTTATTTTTAAAAGTACGGGCCTCCCAAGTGATTTCTTCCCCTCATGTCTTCCAATTGCAATATTGTACGCAGTGTACATGTTTATCAGTGCAAATTATATTATTAATTTCATTTTTCTTACAAGTATTTACCATTATATGAAGTATTATAAGAAAATATACTTCTTATCATACAGAATATTTGTTGACAGTGTTGTGTCCGTTTAAAGTAAGTGATGGCGTTTTATGAATTGTGACAATGAATTACTTTTTACGTTATATAATGACTGTCACATGCAACACCATTGTTTTCCCGACATGTCACACATTATGACACGCGCATTTACTCACAACCGTGGATTTTAGTTGATTTATTCAAGGATTTTATTTTCCAGCTTTGTTCTGGTTATATTTATTTTTATGGTATACAAAATGTTCCTAAATTATCTTACCAGTTACAGAACCTAATAGAAACCAAATCACTTAAGATGAAATGACTCGTTTTGTACCTTCATGTATGCCTAAACACTTTGTGTAGTACGCAGTACATTAAGTCGGCATTCAATTCCTGTTCATGTATTCGCCATTATGTCCGCTATCGCATTGATGATTTACCGTTTGACTCAAGCACGATGGATGTAGGTGACCTGAACAGGTGTTGTTATACTTAGTATTCGACGTAATTACGAAGGTGTAAGGTCAGGTGATCGTGGAGGCCAAGTGTATTTTGTAATTGTGAAGTGCATGACATTGTCTGCTCTATTACGCTCGTTCTTACGTCACAAATATGGAAATAAAGTAGAATAGTTTGTCCTTCTGGGCTAATATTACACTAGTTTGTGGCTATGTAAAAACCGAAATATGTAGAAGGACTTGAGTTCTCACGGGAGTGGGTTGTTGCGTCGTTTAATGTGATAGAAATTTACCGACGTTTCAGAGGTTCTTGCTGCTTCCATCTTCTGGGCAACAGCTATCCTCGATCTTTCTTGAATGATTGTACACTCGTGAATAAATGAATTCATTATGTCGAATAATTGATTCACAGTAAAATTGTGTGTTGATCGGTATCGCTTTGTCATTAGGCTGTCACTCTGTCCTTATCAGTCACTTAATTGTCCAACTTACTTTTTCATTTGTATATATATATAACCTTAAACTTTCACTTTTTGTAGAGTGCCGTTATGGCAATTTGTCCAAAGTTACTCAAGGATATTCAAAATACCGGAAGTAATTCTCTACTTGAATTTTATCTCCATATATTTTGGTGATAAGTAGTCACACAACATTCAGCAACAGAAATAAACTGTAATTTACTGTGAACTGATTAGAATACAATTTTTCTTACATTTGACATAATGAGTAAAAATGTATCTAGGATGATACATTTATATAATTTGAAGAATAAACTGGGGTAACGCCCATTACAACCAGTATCTGATAAATGTTTTGTGCCCAGAACTGTTAGGAAATTTTCTGTAGTACACAGAGTGGCCAACCTCGACCACCAAGATGCACAGCTGAAATCTGATTGTTGGTCGGGACGCCTCATATACTCACAGACATTTTTCATGGTTTACATTAGTCTCTCCAGACGACTATCATGAATGTCCCTTTAAGTATATCATGACCATTTTATCCACAATACCCTTTACTTTATAGTACTCTAACTAAAGTATCACCTGAAGTGTTTATATCATAGGTACATAACACGTAGAATTCAACTATGCTTCTTATCATTGAGCTTAGGTTAATTTTGTTGCAATAACATAAAAGTCACTACAATTTTAATGCTTCAAAAATAGGTTTGAAATTGATAAAATGTTGAGAACGGTGATCTTGCACTTGGTACTTACGTACATTTTTCTGAGTCGCTACCAGGAATGGAAGGGACTGGAAATACTGTATTCCTCTATAGTGGCAGGTATTTTGAGACGCAAGTGCATCTAATTTGCAGAGAAGAAACATCTTCTTGGATATAAAACTACAAGTGCTGTGACTGTTGAAAGCTGGTGGGCGTCAGGTGGATGTGGGTGCTTTTTTGAACTTACCTAAACCAACGATTAGAACCGTTATTAAAAATGGAGGCGAGATAAAAACTTCTATCAAGACGACCCCGAAGTTATCAGTAACGAAGGTGACTCGTTCAAGGAGCACTTTGTTAAAAATAAAATTGAAAGCAGTTTGGCATATGTGTGGATAACCAAACGCAACGTATCATGCCATTAAGCCAACTCATTATCATGGAAAAGGAAGGCCAAAGCCCACCCCGGGCTGTAGCGCCGAGGAAGAAGAAGAATTATCATGGGAAAAGCAAGGAGTGTCTTCGGATATCTACAGGAAGAAACTTTCTCGGCTAGCAGAGGTCGGTTTAATGAGTTCCTACACAGCATCTGCATCTCCGGAGAAGCTGCTAGTGCTGACACGCAGGCAGCCCAGGAGATTCCTGTTACTCTCAAAGTTATAATCGAGCATGGCAAATACCCTCTCCAGATTCTCTTTAGTGTCGATAAAACAGGTCTTTTCTGAAAGACAATGCCATCTAGCACTTTTATCTCCCGAGTAGAAAAACATGCTTCTGGTTCCAAGGACGCAAAAGACTGTTTAACACTGTTGCTGGGATGTAACGCTTCAGGAGCCTTCAAGTTGAAGCCGATGATCGTCTGTCACTCTGAAACACCACGAGCTATGAAGGGGTTTTAAAAATTGCGTCTGCCTGTGATTTGGGATCAAACAGGAAGGCCTGGATGAGAATTGATATTTTCTAGCAGTGGCGTGTGTCACATTTTTGCTCAGCAGTGAAGCGTTACTGTGAAGAAAACAAACTTGAACCCAGAGCATTGTTGGTACTCGATAATGCCAAAGGCCATCCACACAATCTAGACAGCCCTTGGACCTGCATATCTGTAGAAGTGGTTTACCTTCCACCGAAAACATTTTCCTTACTCCAACAAATGGAAGAGGGAGTCATTTCGAATATCAAGGCTTACTACCTTCGTTTCACCTTCAGACAACTTATTGAGGATACAAATGGCAAATATAAACAATCCATCAGATAATTTTGGAAAAAACTACCACGTCATGAAGGCCATGGATAATATCAGAGCAGGCTGGGATGAAGTAACCAAAAACTGCATGAACGGAGTCTAGAAGAAGCTATGGCCAGAAACATGCAACGGCTTCCTGAGATTTGAAGTGGCAGTGACATCTTCGAATTGGTCAATGAATTCCTCAGTGACAGCATCACCAAGATCACGGCAATCATGGAGCATTTTACCGAGAATGACCCTGACTGGGAGCGCAGCAGCCAGGCAAGGACAGGTGTTCTCGACATAGTTTCGTGAGAGACAACTCAAGAAAAGGCAGTCATCCCTATATGTCTACTTCAAGAAGCAGCCAAAACACGAGGAGGGCCAACAATCTGGCCCTTCATCCCAGATGTAGACTGTTATTCAATATTTACTGTTTACATCATAATTACCACATGTTTATTCTTATAATTAAATTTGTGTATAGGTTACAGCAAAGAACGTGATATTAGTGAATGTCTTCATAGCTAATACATTAGTCTTCCTCTTAAATGCATTCAAATTTACCACTGAAATAAACATTACAATATCGTGAATATAGAGCATATCATCCTGTGATGAAGGGAGCTCACACATATTATCCTGCACTTGTTTGTTTGTACACAATAGTGTGAATGGAATGGGCAGGAACTGATACTTGGATGTCCCCATGTTGATTTGCAGAAAGAATGCACTGCTTGTTTGTATCCAAACTGTAAAAAAGATGTTATGGATAATATATGCACCTTACGTAGCGATTTGTAGATCGAGGTCTGTACAGTAAGAAATCCTTCCCAGAACTCACTGTTACCTTATGAGAATGCATAGATTGAACATTTTATATACAAAATCATTTCTCCATCTTTAGTTTTCGTTCCTAGACTATCATAACTTGTCTTTATAGTGCATGGAGCACTCTGTGTCAGGTATTATTTCATTGCTTTGCAGCTGTTTTAATCCATACTGAGATCACTATGAGACACCACAGTAATGCATAACACAAAAGTGATCAGTGAAGTATTTATAACATTGTTGTAATAAACGAGCAGTTTCGTTATTTCAATACAGTTTACACTAAAAGAAACCTGATGAGGAACTGTCTCACTTTGTTAGACCAAATCAGTGGTTTGAAAACTTTGTTCCTAAATCATTTAAAAACTGCTGAGGATCTTCATGGACCGCATAATAATTTTTATGTTATTCATGTCGGAGGTACACATAATAATAACTCAAAAGTGATAATCTGATTAACTCTGCGTCTTTAACAGTGACTGACTCACAATATTCAAATTGGAAGTAAACAAGTTACTATAGGGTTCCTGATTTATCATTTTGCAAACCCACAGTGTTCAGTCACCACCACACCAGCAATATGTGTCCAGTAATTTCCATCCCATTATTGCACGAGACAAATCCAAGGTCCCTGAAGTAAAGTGTGTCTCCTACCAACTGCTAGTTCAGTAACGCATATGACTAGTTACATCCAGCCACACCTTACCCGTGAATTATATTGACCACCTAACCGAATCTTCACTCGCCAGCAACATTAGGTGTGATCAAGGTTGTTGCACAATTAGTAGGTCAAAGATTGATGGGAAGGGGTGGGTTGTAGCCGTTTTGAATAGTTTTTCTTTTAATAATAATAACAACAACAATGTGTACCTGTTTAGAATCACAATAACAATATTTCCATCGTCTCTCAGAAATGCTGCACTTGAGAGTCCTTTGTTATCATCACTGTGCATCTTAATGCGCTGTGAACCAGGTGGAATGTATTTTGAGATATGTGCAAGAGCATAGAACATTGGCTGCTTGTAGAACTCATCACTTGTAGCATTGACAATGATAGGTGAATCTAATGTATTGGAAACGTAGTTCGGCCCTCCATTTGTGTCTAAAGCAATGTTCCAGTCAACCCATCCACATGTCCAGTGGTTAAGTACCTATGTTAAAAATAAATATCACCATGAGAAAAATGTATTTTTCTGTTAAAAGAAAGAACATTGCATGGCAGATCATGCTTAATTATGGTATCTAATTATAACATTAACGCACAAGATTTCTGTGGGAAAGTAGATCTTTGACACAGTCTATCAGTGGGGCAGCCTCAATTCTGAAAGTTTGTGACAATGATTCATTGTTGAAGCAAACTGCCTTGTGACACTTTGTGTCTTGTAGGTGGTTAGCTACAACATCACTTGATACCATGTTCCCATATTATTGTTCAAAACGTAATTAAATCAACTAGTTGGGCATATAAATGATGAAAGGGTCATGCCGCTATGTTTTTTATTCAATATTGCCAAGATGAATTTAGAGCTACACTAAGCAAGCAGTAAGCAAGAGCAAGACGAAGCCAGCATGTAACACATATAAAAAAGTTTGGTTAGAAATCCTGAAGGAAAGAGACCACTTTGAAGAAATTATCAGAGACAGGAGAGTAACATTAAAATGGATCTTAGGCATGAAGCATTTGAGAGTGTGGTTTTGATTTATATGGTCAGTGATGGGCTCTTGTGATAATGGTAATGAACCTTTGGGTTGTATGTTTATGATGGAAAATTTCTTGACTAATGAGCATACTTTTAGCATCTGAAAAAGGACCCTGCTCCACAGAGTTAGTTCAAGAATCTATGTGAATCTGTCTTTACTGTAATACATGAAGATCTTACCTCCAAAATATTTTGAGCATAGCGTTCAGCACTTTCCCACTTTCCTAGACAAACTGGAGGTTCAAATGCTAAGTGAACTGAAAGTATAAACGTAAAATATTTATTTTTCTCCACCAGGATGAAATTTTGTTTTACATACTTTATTAAACAACTTGATTCATTGATTAATGGATGCATTTAAAGTAGACTATACTAAAGTGATTTTTCATTCATAAATAATAAACAATAAAATTTTTAACCAAATGTGCCTTTATTTGTGAAAATGAGGTATAATATGAAGGTGAGTTTGCTATTAAGATGTGAAAGTCTCTATATTGTGTATTCTACATCTTATACAGCTGCTTAACGGAGGCTATTGTTTTTTTGAAATTAGTTTACATCATGTTTAGTTTTGTTATTCTTATGGCTCAACAATCTAAATACCAACCAGAATCTGAAGCTTCCTTTTCTTCTGTTGGCATATAGCAAATAGGAAATATCACAGATGAATGCTCTAAAAGAATACTTTTAGAGCATTCATCTGTGATATTTCCTTGTAATCTCAAAAACTGAGTTAATATTTGTGTTCAGAAATTTTTTATTCTAATTCTTTTGCCAGTGTACTGGCAAAAAATCGTCCTCCTGATGTGTCCATCTCCCTCTTACTCGCTGTGCTGTTCTCCTTGGACACTTGTTCTTAACAATTAGTCCTATATTTTCTTCTAATTTTTTTCCCATATGTAGTGTTCTTTTTATATCTGTTATAGCCTTAACTTCCTTGAGTATTTTATTATTATTTTTGCTATTGTTGATGATGATTATTCAAGAGTACTTATCTTGCACACTAATTTTTGCCTTTGGATGTAGGATTGTAACATGAAATTAAGAAATTATAAATGACAGAATGAGTAATTTTCATTATTCATTTTGTGTTATAGTCTATATTATATTAATTGGCAACAACTCAAGTACTTACTAATGGAAGCTTCGGTATAAAGAATAAATTTGTCTGGATATTGACGATGGGCTTTGTCGAGAAATGATGTCGGAGAGATGATAGGGTACATATCACTATACAAATGAATAGCAAACCCTGATATGTACTTCTGCAGGTCAGGATCTTTCATCTGAAAATAAATGAACACTACAGGATTGTAAATAAATATAGGTTTACATTTCTTAGATGAATGCTTCATTGTGAACAAATTGTGACATGCCTGATGGGAAAATTGCATTTACACCAAAATTGAAACTGGATTCATAGTATAGTATAAATCACGTTATTAGAACCTTTTCCTAAAAGTACACCTTAATAATGATTTCCAGTACCAGTCTACGCCTTCTATATGGACTCTTTCAAAGAGGCTTCCCCACTAAAATTTTGTTTGCATGTTTTTTCTTACCTGATTTTTTTCCGCAAATGATTGTAACCTCCTTCATTTGGATGCCCGAAAAATAAAATAATAATTTCTTGACTAATTGAGTAACAATTAGTTTTCAAAATCTCTGCTCTGTTTGGTTAGTTAATTTAAAAAATACTGAAGTTTGCTGAATTTTAAAGGGAGCTTTAATTTGTAATACAGCATAGACATCTGTAAAATCCAGTTCTGTTTTTATCAACATTGCTTTTAAGATTGTCTTCTGAAAGTTTGTGATCCATTAATATTTGTACCCTGTAAATCTGACATGGGCAGTCCCTGGAACATGAACCAGATCTGTCCTGCCACTTTATATTTGGCCCATGTAAAGTTTTACATTTCTTAACACATTATTTAATTCATGACTAATCTGTTTGATTTGTCAAATATGAAGGGTGTTCTGTGTTTTTAACCTGGGCAAATCAATATTAGTAGTAAAATATGCTACCCTTGATTCTGGACAAAGTTTTTTTAAGTACTGGTAATAACTTACATAATATGCAATATCATGGCCTGCAGTTGTGATGTGAAAAAAAAATTTAGCTAGAGGCTACAAAAAGGTTGCTCTTGCCTGTGTACACCATTAGATTATTAAAATGATGCTGTGTGAAACTTGTGTCACTTTCCTTACTCCAGGTGTATATTAGTACTACACAGACTAATGCACATATTTGTTGACATCAGTATTTGCATTACATTAAATAATAAGGCTAAGTACTGATTTTTACTTTTATATACTGCTCTGTTAGAATTTTAAATGTAAATTTTTTCTTGCAAGTCTCAGTCTGAAATAATTAAAACACAAACTACTTAATTCCGTTTGTTCATGTCAGCTCTTGTTTAACAAAACTACAATTACTTATGTACCCATACACGCAGGGCTATAGAGAAGTGGAAATTATGAATCTTCAACTTACAATACAAAGCCACAAAGGCAAGGTTATCTTCTGGTCATCTACTATCATGATTTTAAGATCTTTGTAACTGTTAGCATGCAATGTTGGTCCTAAATGATTTTTCACCCAGTCTCTTAAAACAGCTGGGCTCATACCCATGCTGTTGCCATATGGACAGTAATATATTAATCCACCGAATGGCTCATTTTGTGGGGATAAGGCCCAAAAGTCCAGTCCATGACTTTTGTATGCATCCAGGAACCTGAAATTTAATAATAAGTCAGAGACAAGAAAACAGCAACCATTTAATTTGGAGGCATGAATGAAAGAATTCAAACATTAATTTTGCACCAGTAACATAGTTTTAGCGAAATCACATGAAAATAAATTAGTATTTGGGAATATGTTCCCAAAGTTCAAAGTCAAAATTATAATTACTCTAATGACACATAAAAGTTCAAAAAATTTGAACAAGGACATCTGATGAAAATATAGCAGTATAAATACAAATTATATTATTTCTTTCTGACAGCACTCATAAAAGTAAGGAGATTATGTACTTACATGAATGTGTAATTAGATTTTTTCTTTGGAACAGCAGTAAGAATCAGAATTATATAATGAAATAGAGAAAAGATTAGTTGCTGGGAATGTTTGCTACAGTGCAGTTTAAAATCCTTCGTCTTCCTGTTTACTCTCTAAAATTTAACATGCTGGCGCCCAAGTGATACCTGCTAAACATACATTTCACACCTTTACTCACTGGCAAATGAATTTAGAACCCTTACTGTATAAAGCATGTAACATACTAATGTCTCTTACAAACTTCATGTATCCTTTCTGTGCCACCTGTGGTGTTAGAATTGCATGATTTCATTCCATAAAGATGCAGCTTCCATAAAAAGAAAACAGTCGTGTGAACTACTAGCATCTCGCATGGTACTGAATTCTGTTCTCATGAAACACTTTGGTCACCCTCATGGTAGCCAAAGTGTTAAAGAAAGAAATATACTTAACTCCAGTTTTACCACATGTCTCTCACATTATGGAAGAACACAGATGAAGAGCGCTTGAGAACAGCGTGCTAAGCAGAAAATTTAGACCTGTGAGGGATTAAATACAGGAGAAACAAGAAAACTACACAATGTGAAGATCAATTGTTCGTACTGTTTACCAATTACAGGTAGACCTCGATTTACGCCGGGAATGAGTTCCTCGACGAACCGGCGTAAACGGAATCGGCGTAAATTGAAACTAGTTTATAATGTAAATCAATGGGAAGTCAATGGCATGCGTTCCCAGCACCCAAACATTGACGAGTAATATAATGGTATTACATTTAAAACTCTGAAATAACGTAAATATAATAAAGGGAATTTGAAAAATATATTTTATACACTTACAATCGGCAATTCGTTGGTCCCCGCGATTGACTGCGATTCTTTCACATGATTGATGTGTACAGTCATCTCTGCTGTTATGAGATAGTTACATTCATGTAAGACGCCGACCTATAGAAAATCGCATAGTAAAAATAACCCCGGGACCTCCGCAGAGATTAAATTAATCCTATGAAAGTTTAAAGCGCCAAGAATGAAATTGCGTAAGAGCAAACTCGCATATGCAAAAGTTTGCATTTCACAAACAGCTTTTACCGATTCATCGTTCTTATTGGGGCAAATTCGCGTTAACGAAACATACGTAATTGCAGAGATGACTGTATTTATAATTTTTATTCAAAATCAGCGATGTAAGAATTACGATTTAGTATAAGAATCAGTACGAGATACATTGTAAAACGTTATAAATAATAGTATATTTTTTTCTTCACGTTTGGACTTGCTGGTTTCAAAATCGGCGTTATTCTGAATCGGTGCAAATCGAGGGCTACCTGTACAATGAATTAGTAATCGAAAGAAGAACGTAGTGCATAACTACCATTTAGACCTTTAAAATGAAATGTTTTTTTAAGAACTCTTTTGGATTTTGCCGTCATTCTTGACGGGTAATTTACCGTGGGTATTAGGATGATCTAATGAGAATGGATGCAATGGAAAGGGCATTTAATATGATGGGAGAGATGATATATTCATAGAAATCTTATTTGGAAAGTTGTGACGAAGAAGTCACTCAGAAAGCTGTGCATAGATATGAGGATAGCAATAGAATGGGGTTTAGGGAAATAGGGTGGGAGATTGTAAATTGGATTAATGTGGCTCAGGATATAGTCCAGGGGCAGGTTGTTTTGAATAGGATAATTGACATTAGTGTTCTATAAAGGATGATAAATTTCTTAACTATCTGAGTAACCGTGATGTTCTCAAGAAGAAGTCTGCTCCAAACACATGGAAAATATATCAGTATACGACAGTACAGGAACATTCCTATTGTCTATATCCACCATTTCTGTTATGACACCATCACTTTTGAGTTAAATTTAACTAGTCTGTTTAATTTTTTTACATTCCCTTGCTTTAGTAGGATCAAAACATTCAATGTCCTGAGAGTAGTTGGCGTTAATCTTTATAATTCTAATATCATTTAAGTTAATGTAAAGCTGTAGTTGCTACTTACTTGATAAAGTAGTCTGCATAAAGTTGATAATATTTTTTTTGAAGAGTACTGAATGCCTTTGAGAAGACGAAAAACTCTTTCATCCAAGCAGGTGCTGTCCAAGGAGCAGTGAATAGTCTGATAGGTCGTGGGGACATTTGCATACTTTTCTGTACATATTGAATCTGAAAGATGCATATGTTTCAAATATTAAAATAGTGACTATTGTGGGAGCTTTTTATTACAAAATTATTCCTACTGTAATGAAATTTAAAATTGTAAAATTGTAAAATGAAAGCTTACTTGAATATTTCACAGTTTTTGGTTATTTAACACGAAAAGCAAATGGTATGGATTCCAGCATTTTACTTTCAGTTCTATTTGATAAATTTTGAATCATAATCTGTGAAGATGGAGATGTCTGCTTACCTCCTGCTGCATGAAACATTTATATAGCATAAGAAGATCCAGAATCAAGTGATTTACTGCCAATCTTTGTACGGAGTTACTTCCTTAACATATTTTTGAATGAAGGAAAT